ATTGAGAATGTTCCCAGTTTTGTAGGCAAACTTAAGCATCTAAGATATCTGGATCTCTCTAGGAATTGGCTACACTTCCGAAATCTATATGCAAGCTGCAGAACTTGCAGGCACTTAAACTCTCCAATTGTTATGAGTTAAGAAAACTGCATGTTAATTTTAGAAAGCAGGTGAGCCTTAGACATCTTGAAATTGAGGGATGTAATGACCTAAGTTACATGCTATTTGGATTGGGGGAATTGACACATCTCCAGAGCTTACCAATTTTCATTGTGGGAAAGAATAGCTCCATCTCTAAAGCTGTTGGTGGAATTGGTGAGTTGCAGAGCTTAAACCACCTAAGAGGGGAGTTCTAAATTAAACAGCTTGAAAATGCGAGAAATGTGACATCAAGATTGAAGGAACTGAAGGGAGCAAACTTGAAGGAAAAAAAGTTCATTCGAAAAATGACATTAGAATGGACAGGAGAAGATGATGGTGTTGATTATGCTGATGCGGATGGCAAAGTGTTGGAAGACCTCTAGCTGCACCCAAATCTGAAAGAGTTAAATGTAAAAGAATATGGAGGGATCATGTTTTAGAGTTGGATGATTATGAAAATTGTTTCGTGGCTCCCAAACTTTGTTTGAATCACCATACAAAATTGTAGAAGATACCAACTTCTTCTATGGTTTGGTGATCTCCCTTTTCTAGAGATTCTCAAACTCAAATCTCTTAGTGCTCTTGTGTACATAAACAACAACAACATTCAATATTCTTCTTTTACTGGTGCTGTTGGTGCTCCTTCTTCAAGGAGCAATGTGATGAGTGCTGCAAGCGGAGGATCTTTGTTTCTAGCTATCAAAAAACTGTTGCTCTTTGATTTGCCTCTTCTGAAGGAATGGTTGAGTAATTATGGCTAATGATCATGGGGAAATAGCACCAGCTCCACAACAATCATCTTCATTATCTTTTCCTCGTCTTACTAGTTTGTATATTCATGGTTATTGTAGCCTTGTATCTATGATGTTCCTTCCATCTCTTGAAAAATTGTTTATAACATATGTAAGTGAAAAGCTATTACAAGCTATGACAGTGCAAACAAAAACTGTCGGACAAATAATAGAAATGGCCACTTCAGGTCCCTTTTTTCCCCTCAGCATACTACGGACCCTACACTGTAAGAATTCCAAATAACTCTATATATTCAATTGTGTATGTTTGCAAAGAGTGCATCAGTTATATAGCCCTAATCTATAACAGAAAAAGGAAATAAAAAGAAAAGGGAATTGCCTAAAATAACCTAATTCGTAATAGACCATATATACAATATATATTCTCACACCCCCGCTCAAACTCAAGGTGTTTTAACAGAAAACACTGAGAGTTTGCTAACAAGAAACTGACACCAAGTGGTAGTGTAAGTCTTGGTGAAGAAGTCTGCAAGTTGCAAAGCCGAGGAGACAAAAGGAAGCGAGATAGAGCCAGACTACAGACGCTGTCGTACAAAGTGACAATCAATCTCAATGTGTTTCGTCCGTTCATGGAAGACAGTATTGTGGTCAATCTGAATAACACTGCTGTTGTCACAATAGAGGGAGGTTAGAGAAGACTGAGGGACACCCAAATCAGAGAGAAGACAACAAAGCCAAACAAGCTCAGCAGTAGCATGAGCCATAGCACGGTACTCAACTTCGGCAGTAGAGCGAGCAACAACAGTTTGTTTCTTGCTTTTCCAAGAGATCAAGGAATCGCCAAGAAACATATAGAAACCAGAGGTGGACTTGCAATCAGTAACATCACCAACCCAATCAGAATCAGCATAGGCCACTAAGTCTAAAGAAGAAGTAGACAACAACAGCAAGCCCTGAAAGATGGTACCCCGGAGATAGCGAAGAATGCGAACCAAAGTAGCCCAATGGGTAGAGCGAGGAGCAAAAATGAACTGACTAACCACATGAACAGTATAAGCAAGATCAGGGCGAGTGACAGTCAAATAAACTAAACAACCCACCAGCTCGCAATAGACCGTGGGATCATCCAGAGGGACACCATTAGTAGAGTTGAGCTTCACATTAAGCTCAACGGGTGTATCAGACACCTTAGTAACAGTAAGACTAGCACGGTGAATAACCTCATTAGCATACTTGGCCTGAGACAGAAAATAGCCCTTGGGAGAAGAGGCAGCCTCAATACCAAGAAAATACCGCAATTGACCCAGATTCTTCATTTCAAAGGTACAAAAGAGATGTTGTTTAACCTCAGAGATAACAGAAGAGTCAGAGCCAGTGATGATCATATCATCCACATAGAGTAGGAGTGCAACAAAACCAGTCGAGATATATCTCAGAAATAAAGTAGAGTCAGAAGCAGAAGGAAGAAACCCAAGCTTGGTAACGGCAGTCTGAAAGCGATCATACCAAGCACGAGGAGACTGCTTCAAACTATACAGAGCATGCCAAAGATGACAAACTTTCCCAGAGAAGTGGAGAAGACTAGGAGGAGGACGCATGTAAACCTTCTAAGTGAGATAACCATTAAGAAGAGCATTCTTAATGTCCATCTGATAGAGAGACCAATGGCGAACAGTAGCAACAGAAATTAAGGTATGAACAGTAGTCATCTTGGCAACAGAGGCAAAAGTCTCCTCATAATCAATACCATACTCCTATGAGAAACCCTTGGCAACCAAGCAAGCTTTGTAGCGCTCGAGAAAACCATCAGAATGAGTCTTGACTTTATAGACCCATTTGCAACCAACCAGATTCTTACCAGCAGGCAAAGGAACCAACTCCCAAGTGTTAGTCTTCTGTAAGGAAAACAACTCATCCTCCATAGCTTGAACCCAATTAGGATCCTGACAGGCCTCCGTATAAGACTGTGGTTCTAAAAAAGAATGAATAACAGACAAAAAAGTATGATAGACCAACCCAACCTGTTTGAAGGACAGCGCTCACGAATAGGATATTGGTGTGCAGCAGGATCTGAGTCGTCAGAAGTAGAAGGAGCAGCAACAAGAGTAGAGACAACTGGTGATGGAAGAGCCTAACGATGAGAATAGACCAACAATGGAGGGGAGGAAGAAGCTGAAGGAGGAGAATGAGCCATAATGGGCTCAAAAGGAATAGTGGAGATGTACTCATTAGACGAGACCTCAAAAGGAAAGGGTTCAATGTGAACCAAATCCTCTTTAGAAACTATAGCAGTGAAAGGGGGAAGTTGAAAGTAAGTCAGACGTTCGAGAAAGGCAACATGATAGGAGACATAAAGGTGACGAGAGACAAGATCGTAACAATTGTAGCCTTTCTGAGTAAGACTGTAACCCAAAAAGACATAGAGGACAGACCGGGCACTAAGTTTGGTCCTATCTTTGCGGGAAAGAAGGACAAAACAGGCAGACCCAAACACACAAAGAAGGGAGTAGTTAGGAATTTGGGAGAACAAAGCCTCATAAGCAGACCAACCAGAAAGAAGGGGAGTAGGCATGCGGTTGAGAAGAAAATTAGCAGTAAAAACTACCTCCCCCCAGAATGGAGCCGGAACTGAGGCTGAGAGAAGAAGAGGCCTAGCTGTCTCAAGGAGATCACGGTGTTTACGCTCAGCTCGACCATTTTGGACAGGTGTATCTGTATAGGAAGTTTGATAAATGGTACCCAAATTGGCCAAATACTCACAAAACTCATTTTTAAAATATTCCCCACCCAAGTCAGACTGTAACACTTTAATGGTAGGCCCAAACTGAGTAGTAATCATAGACTGAAAGGTACGGTATATCTAATAGAAATCAGACTTATGAGTCATAAGATAAACCCAAGTGTAACGGGTGCAATCATCAACAAATGACACATAGTATGCAAAACCCCCCTTGGTGAGAATAGGAGAAGGGCCCCAGACATCAATATGAACTAAAGAAAATGGTGTAACAGATATAGAAGTACTGTTACGAAAAGGTAAGGCTGTCATTTTGGCAAGTTTACACCCCCGACACTCGATAAGTTGACTAGGAGAAACTTTACCCAATATACCTGACTGAGCTAAAGACCGTAAGCGGCCAGCAGACAAATGTCCTAATCTGGAATGCCACAAATAGAAAGGACTAGACAGAGAATCTAACTAAAAAGAAGAAAAGACAGTCGGAGAGGTAGTCATAAGCAGATGCAAGCTCTCCACCACATAGAGGTCTCCAACTCTACGGCCAGTCCCAATCTGCTGCTTGGACATCCGATCCTGCACAGAACAGATAGAAAAAGAAAAGATAACATCAAAACCAGAGACATTAAGTTGACTGATAGATAATAAACTGACAGATAACTGAGGAACATATAAGACAAATGGAATAGAGACTGCAAACATAGCATACGGTAGGACAGACCTAACAGATATAACTGACATACTAGACCCATTAGTAGCATTAATAGTAATAGGAAATGGAGGGGAAGTACAATTCTGAAGTAAAGAGAGACGAGGAGTCATATGATGAGAGGCACCAAAGTCAAAAAGCCAGACAGACGAAGAGATACCTGATGAAGACCCAAGTAAACCTGAATGAAGAAAGGAAACAACGGAGGCAGATGGAGATAGCTGGGAGGTAGACAATATATGCTGAAGCTAACTAATCTGAGCAATCAAGGAAGCCAAGTCAAGATCAGGAGCCAGCAAATGTAGTAGAACTGATGGGAGGCCGAACAGTACCATAATGAGGAACGCAGAACTTGATCAGAAATTGCTGAGAAGACGAAGCAGACACAGGCAAAGCAGACAAACATCCTTTCTTAGGACAATGATACTTCCAATGACCTCTTTGATGGCAAAAGACACACTCATCTGAAGCTAGTGGCCATTTCTTAAGCTTTGTAGAAGGTTGAAGTTGATGGGTATCCGACATCAGAATGAACCAAAACAAAAAAGATAACTGATGGGGCAAAGTGTAATAAACAAAGATTGGATGGGCCAAACTATAATAAAGCCAAACTGTAATAAAAAAAATTGTACCAGATGTGATCAAACCAACCATGAAGCAATACAGACTCCAAATGAGAGAGACCTAAGTCGAATCAGAGACTGAAGCTAAGAACCTAAAGCCGAAGTCAAGGACGAGAGGCCTCTAGAGAGAGAGACGAACCACAAAGACGAAGCGACAAAGAAAACAAACTAGATCCAATCTCAGATGGATTGTGAATCGAAGATGACGAGCTGCGATTCGAAGCAGATAGGTCACGATTGAGAGAGAAATCCTAGGAGGCATGGAACAACAACTGAAATAGAGATGGCTCATGATCCCGACACTGGGTAGATCGCGATTCCGACGAGACCAGATGCTGATTGCGAGTCTGGTACAATCGCGACTCCAGAGAACCACAAACGAGAAGTCTATAAATTAAAAAAGAAAGAGCATCGAAACAGAGAAAACTTCGAAACTTTGAACCAGAGACGACTTCGAATGATTAAAGGCAGAGCTAGGGTTTCACACACGGCTCTGATACCATGTAAGAATTCCAAATAACTCTGTACATTCAATTCTGTATGTTTACAAAGAGTGCATCAGTTATATAACCCTAATCTATAACAGAAAAAGGAAATACAAAGAAAAGGGAATTACCTAAAATTTCCTAATCCCTAATATACCATATATACAATATATATATTCTCACAATATGCTCATGTGAAGATCTAGTATCTTCATCAGAACTAGGTTTGAGAAACCTCACTTCTCTAAGGGATTTGCATATCATTTACTGTCATAAACTAGTACAATTACCAGAGGACGGATTAAGGGACTTGGTTTCTCTTCAATCTCTTCAGATCAGTTCTTGTAATAGCCTCACTTGTCTGCCTCTAGGAACCCAACACCTTACTGCCCTCCGGAAGCTACAATTATTTGACTGTGAAGCATTTGATTGGCTAGACAAGGACGATGGCTTTTAAGGTCTTGTGAATGTTCAGTATTTAAAGATTTCAATGCTTCCAAAGTTGACATGTCTTCGTCATGGGCTTCAACACCTGACTACATTACAAGTGCTCTCTGTCTCACAGTGTGATAGTTTGGTGACTTTATCGGAGTGGATGGGGAACCTCACATCATTTGCAAGGCTTTATATCAGCTTCTGTGATAAATTGGAGTCTCCCCCTAATATTGTGCGTTGCCTCTCCATGTTAAAACAAGTGAACATTCAGTTTTGTGAACTCTTACCACAAAGATGCCAAAGGGAAGGTGGCATAGAATGGCCTAAGATAACTTACATACCAGAGATTCACATTATTTGCCAAAGGATGAAAATGAAACTATAAAAATAGGGAGTGGTGGAGTCCCAACTAACTTATGTCTCCCCAGCTTTGCAATTCTCTTGCTTCTCTTCTATTTCTCTTTCATAAGTAATTAAGACAAAAAAACTTGTATAATCTTCCATTCCTTTGCTGGTTTAAGTTTTTTTGTTTGGATAAGTTCTCGTCTGTTGAGCTTTCATTTGCAGCAAAAGCCAGAGGAATGCTTCTTAGAGAAAGAAAGGGAGTGTTGAAGATAGGTTGATATTTCAATTTTCGGGTGATCAGTGTTTCTGCAAATAATGATTTACAACATATATTATGGTAATTATCTCTCTCTGAGAACATTAAAAATCATAAAACCAAAAACCAAGGTATGTTCGGTAATGTTATGTTTACTGATTTTATTTTTGTTTTCAAAAAACAAATCAAAAATTGTAAACAATATTCAAAATTTACTAGGAAACAAAAAAAAAAAAAAATTGTGTTTTTACTTGTTTTGAAAAACAATATTCAAAATTGTGTTTTTACTTGTTTTTAAAACAAAATCATACCTTCCTCTGACTTCCTATCCTTCGACTACCCCTTATGACAAATCACCAAACATGTTTTCTTGTTTTTGTTTTTGTTTTTATTTTTGTTTTTGTATGTATACAGAACATGTGTTTGTCAAATATATATATTTTTTGTTTTTGTTTTTAACGAAAATAAGTATTAACATGATTCCTGTTTTCTGTAAACAAAAAACAAGAAATTGTAAACATTACCAAAAGCTAATGCTCTCTTTTGTTACTCATTTCTTTGGTTTTTTGACATTTGGATATAAAGAACAAGATCTTGGTAATGGCTATTGAGCCATTCACTTGTTTATCTCCACTGAGTGCTGTTAGTCCAAATAAATTCTACATGTAAATGACATTTGCTAAGGATCAGTACTATTAAAATTAAACCGTGAATCAGAACAATTAAAGTTTTATCAAAGTCTACCCTCTTGTATTAAGTCCTCATGCCGCACATCAAAAGTATTAATTATATTTACATCTTATGAACAAGACAAGAGCAACCATAATCAAATTTGTTTAATTTTTAATTTTTTTATGTTTATCATCTGATGCAATCCCCAGAATTTGTTTTCTATCTCTTTAGCATTTTGTGATTGGAAGTGAATGCTAGTGACTGGTCTTTGGAGATAGCTTATGTGCTTTGCTGTAATTAACCTATGTAATAATTTAAGTTCTGTTTGGATGATTATTGTGGAGGAAACCAAAAAATACAAGAAAGTGAATAAATATAAGTTTTTTTTTTTTTTCTCTCTCTTCTCTACAAATCCCCATTTAATTCTTGATCCAGACACACCTAAAGTAACACAAAATCTTTTATGTTCATTTTCGAGGGACAAAACTATGTTGAACTATATTAGTTTCTTGGTAAATTAGGTGTTTACCTAGGTTAGAACTTTAACAGATTAAATACCAATTGCTTTTTCTTGTTTCATTGCTGCTATATAGCTTCATACTCACAGTTGACTCTTTGCCAATGGAAATGTGAAGGAATTTTTCCTGGCTAACTTGAATTTTAAGTACTATATCCCTTCTTGGTACTCTGCAGATTCAGGGAGAGAAAGAAAAATAAAACAGAAGGAATTACTTTTTGACCTCTGGTTGCCTTGAAAAGGAGGGAAGCTATAAACAAACAGTGAAATTCTTAATTTTAAATGTTATTCTCAATTTTCTTTTTCCTTCTTTCTTTTTTTTTTTTAATTTTTAATTTTTTTTTTTTTTTTTTATAAAACTTCCTGTATGCATATATTCATATCATTTTGTGAGGTTGTGTAGTTATGGTTTTGGCTCTTTACAGATTAACCTTTTTCTCTGATACAAACATAATTTGAGTTATTAGAGGTTCCTTTAATTGTTATTATTAATTTTTAATTTGAATGAGAGGATTTTGCAGACAGTTTTGACAATGTGGGTAGCTAGTCAGAAAAATATTATCATAGATGTTGCAAGATGTTTGATCCTTCTGTTTGTTTGCAGGTAAAATAGGGGTTGGCTTCTCTGGTCCTAATTTGGACCAGAGAGAATTGTTCGGGCCCGTGGGGCTCACTACGTGTATATTATGATAATTCAAATCATTCATTTTCTCAAGTTCTGCGTGTATATTATCCATAAAAAAAAAAAAAAATCAAGTCGATTCGATATTAGTATCCCCTACATTTTATAGAATTTGTATCTAAAAAAATTAATTAAGATTTTATAAGATAAATGACATACAATATTTTCATAATAGTTAGGGTCCCACAATATTTTCACTAAAAAAATTTGAGACAGGAATTTTGCCCTGACAAAAATTTCTCTGATGTCACAAAGAAATTTCAAAAATTTTCTACTATAATCATAGAAAAGTTTTATCGTGGGACTTTAGCTAATAAAAAAATATATATTTGATCTCTTCTACTATCCAAAATTGGAGAGAAATGTTTTATTAATTTTTCTTTTATTTTTTTGGCTATAGATTTTATAAAATGAATGGGTTTCGAATATCTAATCGGCTTTTTTTTTTTATGAATAATATACATGTAGGGTCTAATAAAATAAATAGTTTAAATTATTGAAACAGGGTCTGTAATAGGTCTCATGAGCCCAAGCAATCCTCTCCAATCCAGATGAGGACTGGAAAGAAGCCTTAGCCAAGTATTTAATACCTTTTGCTTTAGGCTCAATTCTTCAGCCATTTTTTTGGGATCTACAAATAACTATTTTAATTTTAGGGGAATTTAGGTCAAGTTTGGCATATTGTAAAAAAGTTAAAAAGTCAAAAAGTTATTCAAAAAGTTAAAAAGTTAACACTATTCACCAAAAGTCAACAATTACGGCTGCACAACTCTCAATCCTAATTTTTCCCTACAAATCAATTTTTACAATTCTTTATTACACATTTTTTCATAAAAAGTCAAAAAATTAACCCAAACAACCATATTTTCTTCCTCAATTTTTTAGTCCAAAAAGACGAAAAATGCACTTATTTAGGACACCCCAAACAATCCCTTACATATCAGAGGTATCTCTAAAAGCTATTTACAAATTTATGAGAACGTTTATAAATTTACTTTTTATTTTTAAAGTTTATCATTAATTTAAGGGTTTGTTACACTTTTACTCTTAAACTAATTGTCTACTTAGTCTCTAAACTATCAATTGAGTCTACTAAATCCTTAAAGTATATAAATCAAAATCTATTTAGTCCTTAAACTATCAATTGAATTTATTAAGTTTTTAAAATATTTAATTCAAACATATTTAATCTTTGAAAAGATTACAAAAATAAAATATATGTGCATAAATATTATAAATTAGTAAAAGACCTATCTAATTAAGCTTTTATTCCAAAAAAATTTGAATTTATATATATATTTTTTTAAAGTGTTTCATTTCACTCTGTATTTAAATTAGTATCAGAGTGGCTTCTTGGCCTTGTCAATAAAATTATATGAGTATTAGACATACTGAAGAAGTAAAATTAAATAATTTAAATAATAACACTTTGCTATAAATAATAATAGAACAAAATAATAAATTAATTAAGTTATAAAAATAAGGATTAATTACTTAAAAGTCCTAATGACAGTAGGTGTGGTAGCTCAAGTCCTGTGTAATAGTTTTTAGATGCCCAAGTTCCATTTTGGAATGCAATTGACGTTTTTGTCCTTTTGAATCTAATGTTTTAGAGATGCAACTTCAAAGAAATAAAAAGACTTGGAACGTCCCTAAGAAATTTTACGACTAGGAGGAGGAGCAGAGTCTACATCTTCATGGATCTTTTTCAAATGATGATCGTTTGGATTATCCAAAGGTTTTTAAGTTGGAAGTTTGTGATGCCTTAACCTTTTACACTTTCGTTTCGATCTATTCTCTTCCTTGATCACTTCAATTTGCAGCACTTTGTGTATGTGTGTGTGTAACTCTAGCCCTTAAAATGTTTGATTGCTCAATTTCAGGGTTCAGAACAGACCATATTAAATCGACTAAAGAGATAGGTCAGGAGATCTGGTTTGTAGGTAAGAACTGAGATATTCTCAATTCCAAAACTGAGAATGTTCTCAATTTAAAATTGAGAATGATTTCAGATTGCAAAAATATCCAGTAAAATTGAGAAAATTTTCAATATTTATAAAGTTTATCATTAATTTAAGGGTTTGTTACACTTTTACTCTTAAACTATCTTTAAATTGTCTACTTCTCTAAACTATCAATTGAGTCCACTAAATCCTTAAAGTATATAAATCAAAATCTATTTAGTCCCTAAACTATCAATTGAATCTATTAAGTTTCTAAAATATTTAATTCAAACATATTCAATCTTTGAAAAGATTACAAAAATAAAATATATGTGCATAAATATTATAAATTAGTAAAAGACCCACCTAATTAAGCTTTTATTCCAAAAAAATTGAATTTATATATTTATTTTTAAAAGTGTTTCATTTCACTCTGTATTTAAATTAGTATCAGAGTATGGCTTCTTGGCCTTGTCAATAAAATTATATGAGTATTAGACATACTGAAGAAGTAAAATTAAATAATTTGAATAATAACACTTCGCTACAAATAATATTAGAACAAAATAATACATTAATTAAGAGGTGAATTACACTAATGGTTTTTGTAGTTTGAAACTTATGTCACTTTAGTCTTTAACCTTTCAATTGTGATACATTTGACCTTAAATTTTAAATCTCATTCCAAATAAGGACAATTAAAGACACCGTTGCTTCATTTCAAAGGCAAAGTCGTCACTTTGATAAAATAGAAACTAGTTTGACCAAAATAAAAAAAAAAGTATTTTTGAATTTAAAAAATTATTTCTAACCACCAAAGATAAAATTATATAAAAATGATAAATCTTTTACATTTTTATTTTTTACTAAATTAATTTTTAGTATGGGTGTGGATGATGATCATGTAATGGGTGGTTGTTTTTGTTGATATTTTTGGATGGTTATCATGTAATAGATGATTGTGTTTGTTGTTAACATATATTTTTTGATGGTTATCATGTAATGGATGGTTATTAAGTTTTTAATGTATAATCGATATGTTTAATATATGAAATGTTTTTAGTTTTGGATATTTTGATTTAATAGATTAGTTTAATAATGATATCAAAATTATCGCTAGGTTTGGCTTTTGAAAAAATAGAAACTAATTTAACGAAAATAAATATTAAAAAAATTTATTTTAAAAAATTATTTCTACCCTCCCAAAATATAAAATTATGTGGGTGTTTGGGAAGTTGCTATTTTAGTAGGTTATTTTAGTTTTTGGCTATTTTAGTAGGTTAAAATTTTTATGTTTGGAAAGATAGTTGGATTTTTTTGTAGTTGGATGTGATATATGTGAAAGAAAAAGTGAAATGATTATGGATTTGATGTAACATTTTGTCTTATTAGCTATTTTAGTATATTTTGTCGTTTTTTGTGAATTTTAGCCAAAAAAGGCTAAAATCCAAAAATGATGTGCTTTTAATTTTTTTTTTTTCACTAATTTAATTTTTAGTTTTTAGAAAAAAAATTCTGAAAATAGATTCTAAAAACTAGATTTTGAAAATCAAACCTTACAGAACTTTATAACTAAGAAAATTTCAACATTATTCATTAAAAAAAAAAAAGGAGTGATTCTACTTATATCACTTAAAAAAAAAAATGTAATTCTCATTACACCTATTATATTACCAAAACTAATCCTAAAGTAAAATTCTTCAAAACCCTTTCATCTCTTTATACCAATAGTTTTTTGAGGGAAAATAAGAGAATAAAGAAAGCAACAAGGGGAAAGAGAAAGACACAGGGAAGACAGTGAGTGGAGCCCACAACGAAGTGCATGTTCTATCACACAATGCTAAACAATTTACATTTCCCTAGTGTTATGTTGTCGGAAATAATAGATTTCTCCAGTGTTTTGTTGTTATACATTTATAGAGTCATTTTCTTCCAAACCATGATTTTTAAATTTGTGTCGGGTTTGTTCAATAATACAATGCTAATGAATTTGAATTAATCCAGTGCCATGTTACTAGACAAACTTTTAAACCCACTTTACGAGGGTAAATTACTTTTAGCTGAGTTACTTTTGTGAACTTGAGGGGATAAGCAAAAAGAAGGGACTGATGACGGAAAATAAGATTGATAAAATAAGGTTTTCCACTTGGAGAATTGAATTATTCCATGATAATTTAAAGAGTCAAAATAGAGCAGAAGTGCAAAAATAAATAAATAAATCATTGAAAAAGCCCTTGCTACCATACCTTTATTTAGTGATAGACTTTGTTCCTGTGGGGTACCTCTTTTAGTGCACCCAAGGGTAGAGGGAGGGGGAGTTGGGGTCCTGGCCCCTGCAAACTTTTAAGAATACGTTGTATATACTAGGCATCTTCTATATATTTTCATGGCACATTGCAGGAAATTCAGCTTTTATAAATGTCAAAAACGCCGTTAATTCTTTTTGCGACGTTTAACATCAAGCTCCGAGGACGCGGCCGTCGCTATAACTTCCTGACGTTTTAAAAACGTCATTATATTAAAAACGCCGCTAAATGTCTTACTTGACAATACCATGACGTCATTATGATATTTAGTGACATTTTTTAAACGCCGTCATATCTTTTTTAAAAAATCTAACCGTTAATATTTTGGGTTTTAAGTGGCGTTTTTAAAAAACGCCGTGATATCTCCTTTTTTTTTTTTTTTTGAAATTGTGCTAATTTATGTGATTAAACTAAAAAAATACATATAATAAAAATGAATAACACTAATATAAAATAATAACTTACATTCAAATAGCAAATGCATCATTAATTCACTTTCCCGTTCACCAATCACCATTACCCACAAAATAACATATCCACAAATGATATTTTAATATTACCCCCAAAATAGCATATCAAAAAATTGTATTCACAATTCTCTACCAAAAAATTAATTACTACTTTGTATACAAAGCCACAAAATTGCTATCAGTCAAAATATGTTATATATAAGAGGACTAAATTTCCAATAGAAATCTTATATAGTAAGTTTTTTGAGTGAATATAGTCTCGTATCCAGAATACAAAATTGCTATCATTTGATCAATTATCTCTTCATCTGTTAGATTATATTTGTTTTCTTCACCCCCATTCATTAGGAGACCAAGAATGTCATGTTTGGTTTCTTGGCAAGCTCTTCTTTCCTCTACGAGTCGTCTCAGCATGCTACAGATAAGATCAATGAAATATTCCATATCTTCAAAACTAGAAAGGTGCCATCATCATTATTTCACATAAATTTATGAGCACACATCAGCATCATGAAAAGTTCAAAAAACAATTGCATTCAGCAGCACTGTCACGTATGTTCGACTGCTCAAGCAGGTGCTGGTAACCAACTCATGTTGTTCAATGCTAAAACAATTTAACGGGAAAGAAACTAACTTTCATTTAGTGTTGTTGTTTCACTGAATGTTCAGAATTGTATGTAATAAAAACAAAAGCATACAGCAGGGAGAGAATCACCTGCTGTTTGAAATTTCCATTGTGAAGTTGTTGGCCACTAAATTACTGCATATTACACCGCAGCAAATCTCAATGTCAGTTTCAGTTTCAAGGGTACAAGTCAATGTAGAAACTGTCAGTTTCAGTTTTAGTTTCAAGGGTACTAGGATTGTTGCCTTGCCTATTACATGATTTTCTTGCACACATAGCAGGGTTGTCTAAAAAATATATTGTTGTTGATAAAAATCAAATGGCAAAAATGATTAATCTCTGATGAATTGCAACTTAAAAAAAGAATGGCAACTAATTCAATTGATGAAGAAATATACAAGCAGCATATTTTCCACCCTATTAAGAATGTATAATATCATGTTGCATGATTAGATAAAGAGATTACCATGAAGAACCACACTGCATGAAGTAGTGGCTAAGATTGATTAATAATGGACAAAAAAAATCTTAAAACTTTATTTACTCTCTAAGGGGAAAAATTATCCGTTAAACCCTAGGACTTGCGATTACGGCTTTGTTGCTAGGTTGTAAACAGAAACCCTCAGGACTGTTATCTTTAGTACGGTAGTAAAACTTAGAATTCTGGTCAAGTATACTTTTAAAAAAAAAAATAAAGGTGTAATGATAGTTTTTCTAGGTAGAAAACTTTTTGAAGGGTCTTTATTCTTTTTAAGAGTTTTCCCAACTTTGTCATCCTGATTTAGAGCCACAATACATTGAAAACAAAGATAATAAATAAATCAATGTAAAGGCTGGTTAACACATTCAGTATACCGCATCTACTTGTTGAAACCAGATTACAGACTGCTAGAATTTAAAAGTGAAGATTTAAGCACAAATACTCTTAACACAAGCTAACTTAGATTAATCATATGCAACAAAAGAATTGAGACAAATTACCTGCAAGGCCCTCCCATACATCCGACGTTTCCGAAGGTTGAGCATGGCCAAGGCTATCTCAGGTCGATTCAAGTCATTTCCTTCCTCAACCCACTTATCCAAAGCACTTTGAACAGACAAACATGGAGCAGCCATGATAGCCTTGAACAATGCCGAAGAAGCTCTCTTTTGTGGAGGTCTTTTCTCAGTTACTTCTGCCTCAGTATCAAATAATTCCAGCTCATTTTGAGGTTCTTCTACACCATCACCATCATCTTCTTCTTCAGAGAGCTCTGGTTCGGAAATCAATTGATCTTCGTTTAAATCATCAACATTGCTGTCTTGAACCACATCAGCAGCGCTAGCTGCAGTCTCAAGCTCAGAAAACCCATCCTCCAAATCATCTTCTTCTTGTGCACTGCTTTTTGTGTCAGCCTGTGAAGGAAAACTGCAACACCCCATAAAGAAATTTGGGAAACCATGTGCTGCACTGTAAAATCTCTTCAAAGAGATGCATCCATCAGATGCTACTAGGCGAGAATCAACATTACTGGCTTTGACATCTAAACAACAACTTGCTACTTCTGATTTAGCACAACCAGCTCTAGAAGTTCCGATGCCAAGCACTCGATTCCTGAATGCAGTCAATGAAAGCAATTATGAAACCAAAACCTGAATCAGTAACAGGCATGCAACCAATATTCAAAATTGCATTAATTTATTGTTTATAAATTATATGTATGTAGGTACTAAAAAATGGGAGGAATCTCCCTCAACAATTTATTGCCTGCTTTGCACTCTATTTTCATCCCTGACCAATTTATTAAATAGAATAAGGTCCTGCTTTTCCCTGGTGAGGATTATAAAGTTTATAACGAAACAATGTACAGGCTGTACAGCATAATATTTTTTTTGCAGAAGAATGTCAATAACAAGAGTTAATGCCCTGCTTGGATTCAGTCCTGCAAGTTTTTTTTTTATTTTTACTTTTTATAAATAAAATGTGTCCGTCCATGTGCATGTTTGAAATTTTAATTGAACATAAAGACCAAAAGAAAATGAACGCAAATAAATAAAAGGAAAAGAAGATCGTAAAACAGAGAGCAAAAAACTGATTTCCAAGTAATGAGCGCCTAACATTTTGTTTGGTTGCTTAGAAATGTTATAAGATGATGATAATAAATAAGAACATCAACACTTCAATTATCTCCATCTTGAAGTACCCAAGAACCCAAGTCAATTGATAGTTCAGGACAAAGAAATGGAAGAACGAAAGTCGTATGGATTCACAAAGACTTACTAGAAATATTTGTCTTAATGAGTCCAAATCTTTTCATTAACAGAAAGCTACCCATACGACTCAAAGTTGCACTTTCTTTTCTTTCCCCCCACTCTCTCAGCAACCAAACAAGGTAACCAATGATTAGCCAACGGAAACCCTTGTTCTTTAAAACAAAACCAAGAAAATAGATTTTTTTTATAAAATTACAACCACAACAGACCTTTCAAAATTCAACAACTCCATCAACTACGTAACGAATATATATCAGAACTCAGAAATGACAGTAGCCACAAGACTTCAAGTTTCACTTCCTTTACTTTTTCCCCCCACTTTCCCAGCAACCAAACACGGTAACAACGTTTAGCCAACAGAAACCCTTGTTCTTCAGTACAAAACCCGAAAAAAATGTATATATAATTTTGATAAAAATACAATCATGTCAGACCTTTCAACAATCAACGAATTCATCAACTACATAAATAATATACAACAAAACCCAGAAATGACAGTATCCAGTAGGACTCAAAAAATTCATTTTCTTTACTTTTTCCCCCCACTTTCTCAGCAACCAAACAGGACAGAAGATTTGGCTTTAGAAGAGGCCACTCAACCCTGTTGAGTTTCACATGTAAGAAGAGGCCAGCATTTATATGACGAGTAACTAAAACTACTCTGTCGAGAAATCAACATGCCTAACACAAACAGAACATCCAAAAGGAAAATTACATAATGAAAACTAAAAGTGCTCAATTAGAATGTGTTGAAAATTGAGTATTCAAGTTCATATTAAGATGAAGTAAATTGTAAGTGGTAACGAAACAGTTACCACTGTTGCAGAGGAACAAGCGGGTTTCTCCGTCATAAAGGGTTCCTTTTGCACGGTTATAAGCGAAGAAATCCTCGCATAAGTCATCTTGACCCTGTATTCACTCAAAAAAATTACTATATAAGATTGATACCATGTATTATATATATCGACACCAGCAAGTCGCAATGTCTAAGGCAAAATAAGATCAAGGGAAAGAAAAGTTGAGGAATCAGTTGATTTAATCACCTTATTACAGAAGAAACAGCTACCGCAAGGCATTATGAAAGCTCCAACCACATGAGCTCCGACTGGAAATCTGAAGAATCAAGGCAAAACTAATCCTGTTATCCATGTTGAGGACCAGTCCATCATTTTGGGAGTTCTTAGTGAATCGTGATTAATTACAGCATATTTTCAAAGAAAATTTAAGTAAACCTTTCAATGATTTTGGTGTCCGTGAGGGGCCCATGCTCAACCACCTCACCTGTGATTGCATGACCCATAACACAAGGGCTAGCAAATGGAAGTTCACCTTTGATTACGTGAAGATCAGAGTGGCAAACCCCACAGGCTGCATATTTCAAGCACTCAATAATTGACACAACAATTAGATAACACAAAAAATAGAAAGTTGCTGAATGAATGAACTGTGTACACTGAAAACAAACTACAGGAAAAGGGGTTGTACAAGCAGTAACTGAAAAACAATTCAACAAGAATCAAAATTTCAAATTTACTTCCTATACATATTTAATGCCTTGTTTCATTCTTACAAATGCAGGGGACAGGGAAAAAAAAAGGAGAAAAAAAAAGGAAAATTGATTTCTTTTGTAATTTCTTCCCTACTCTAAGACAAAGACTGAATTAAAATTTCACAAATCCATTTGCATTTTCTTTTCTTCTGTGTCTTTGTGGAACAAGCAAAGGGCGTACACTTCATCGTTACTAATATGGAAGCCGAAAATTATTAATCACATTAAAATTTATAGATATAGGCCCCTTTCACATCACGATAAAAGTTGATGATGTTGTCAATTTTTTTCTTCTTTTTTTAAGGGTCTTTCATTCTCCTGTAACTGTATTCCACTATTTCTGCACCAAAGAGTTTGATCTGAGTAAGCCACCAGCAAATTGGCACAATGTTCTTCCAATGGGGAGGTGATTTTGCAAATCAAACACTTTCTCACTCTCTTTGTAGTCTGTATGTGTGTGTGTGTGTGTATACATTGCTGAACACTGTGATACAACTAAAGAATTTACAAAATCACCTCACGACAAATAATGACATCATAAAATGCTCAGTTATATATATACATGTTTGTGTAGTTGGTTGAAGAAAAATTTACCCTTGGTTTTGATGAGAACTTCACCAGCCTTGGGGCGAGGCATGTGGAACTCTTCAATAGAGAGAGGTGTATTAGGTTCGGTAAACATAACGCCACGCATGTAGGAAGGCCCGCCATTCAAGTGATACGATGAGGCAGACTAATTGAAGGCAAATCATACATATGGCATAATGCAGTATATTATGACTGAAGAAGATTAGAAACATAGATTAAACGAAGAGCCATTTCTTCACTAACCGTCCGTTTGGTATAACAAGTGAGACAAGAAAACAATTGATTTTTTTTTTTTTTTTTTTGACAGAGAATGGGGATGGGTGGGTGAGTGGGTTAAATGTTTATACATTATTTAGAGGCCTAAATAAGACTTACCTAATGTTGACGTTTTCTATGCTGTTATTTAAAATGCTACTGCCTGCTATGCATGTAGGAGTTTTGCTGCTGTTGGGGTGGATCCTGCTGCTATGGGCATTATCCAGTTGCTGCAATTCCAACTGCAGTGAAATCTGTTGGTCTTGACCTTGATGATATCAAGCTGCTTGAAATAAATGAGGTAGTGGATTCTCTTCATCATTATAATTCTCGTGTTCAGTTCAGTATTGTTCGAAATTAGGTCAAATTTGACCCGACCCATAACCCATAGAACGTTAACATGAGCTGTAAATAATTCACATGATTTATAATATAAGATAATTAAGAGAATTATCTGAAGAGGTTTTTGAGTTGTGGGAGACTACAACTCTACCACTATCAGCAAAGATTCTCTATATATTTGATATAGAGAAAATAATAATACATATTCTGAGGTGGGAGTTTACCCCCAAAAATATCTACAAAATATTTCTCTTTGTTTTTCCCTCTTAAGTCACCATTGTAGAACCTAGGGATTTGGAGTGTGGATACAACTTTGAGAAACTCTGGTAGCTTTTCGATTGATGGAGAGTTTTCCAGACAAGGCTTGTAATTTAAGTTTTCTAATCTAAATCGTTTTCGCTTGAGATAATATGATTACCTGCATTTTTTTTTCCTTCATTGGTATCAGAGCCATGATTGCTTGTTTTACCTCATGATTTGCATGCCGTAGATTACATTTATTCATGTTTAATTGAATATTATCTGTTTCAATATTGTTGTATATCATGGCATGTAGAAAAGAATTTATGAAAATCCTAGTTGTAACGCCCCAGATTTTCAAAGTCTGACCCACATGAAAATACCCCAAAATCTAATAAGTAAAAAAGGACGACAATCAGATTGAAAAAAACACATGAGTACAGTAGCATCACACAATACATGTGTTTTTCCAATTACATACATCCTACATACACGATTACGTGGAATGGATTTTCTTTGACTAAAACATACAATAGATGATATATATATATATATATATCAAATTGAAATGCCCAAACGCTTACATCATTTACAAAGGGTGTAACTCTTACAAGAATGACACACTACCAAGTAAATAAAACAAATGGCCCAAGGCCTACAAATCATGGAACCCCCTACTTGACTCCAAACACATCTCCAGCAGCTGACATACATATCCACATCCACATCCACACACAACACCATACACCTGAAAAACATTTTCAGCCACGTAGGGTGAGCATAAATACGAGTAGAGAAAAATTCAAAAACTAAATATCCTCTACTAGCATAAATGATCATGATGCAATACATATATGCAATATTCCCAAATGAATTTTAAAATCCATCTGATTTCTCAACAAAATCATTTCTTTCCAATTACCAAAACCTTTTGTTTATTCAAAACGTTATCCAAAATCAAAACATCTATTTGATAAAAATTCATTTCCAAAACAAATCTAGGTATCTTAATACCAACCAACAAATACATTGCTAAATCAAATGTGAATACATCTCTAAATAACAACAAATACCTTGCTAAAACCATTTTGAAAACATCTTTTTCGAAACCCAAATGACAATAAATAAAATGGATAAATATCTAGGGCTAGTGTTCATAATAGTGCGCTATACAAGTCACTATGCCATTTTACCGGGATTATCTAGATGGATCGGCACCTACCACGTGGGTTTTAGGTCTTGGATCATGGACACATAGGCCAACTTAATTTTTCTCTAACACCCCCTTACAGCTTTACGACTTTATTTACCTTTTTCCAATAGCACAATACATGTGATTCAAAATATGGTTTTCAAAATGATACAAATGTTCTTAAAACATAATACAAGAATTTATAAAACATTCTTTGCAAAATATATAGTTTTGAGTGCCAAAACCCATGACATGTTTCATGATATGAATGATTTCAGTTTGCCTAATCTACATGCAATTTCTAAGACACGACGATGCTATTCTCCACCAATAGCAAAACTAGTCGTGTCTAATGTAATAATTAAAAGATAACAATATGGATATACAATCTAATATCCGAAAAATGATAACATTTAAGGTTTTTCACAAATTGAGGCTTTTCTATTTTTAGAAACCCACATGTAATTTTATATATTGAAAATAGATTTAATAGCCAAATCATAACAAAAAAAAACCCCCCCAATTTGGAACAAACCCATAACCCCAAACCAAAATCCCAAAATCAATCTAATATCAACAGAATCTATATAACGAACATATGCCACAAATACACTACCGAACTCATATCGAGTTACGAAAATAGACCCTATCTCTTGAAGTGAAGAGGAGACAAGCCGAAAAAATTGCTAGTGACGAAAAGACGACCTGCTTAGATTAAATAGAAATTCTCTGTAGATGGTTTTTCACGCTCCTCGGAGGGGTTTAGTCTCCTCGGATGCAATTCCCTACAGTTAGGACTCCAACGGTTTTGAATCTGGTTCCACAACTGCAATGTGAAATAGAAAAAAAAAATGAGAGTCCAGATCTCGCAAATCTTAGATAATACATTAATCACAAGAGATGCCAAAAATGGACTGCATTGCCAGATTTCAGAGTCGGCACCTAATATTTTTAGGAAAATTAGGAAACCCGTGACTCGTGAAAAAGGCCACTTGTCCGTCATAAACAAAGCTGTCTCGGCTCAGGAACTTAGGTATGAAAGGAAAAGGTCATGAATTGAGCACCCCACTCACCCGATCAAAGATCGGCCTCCACTAAATCATGATGTGAATTTTATGGATATTATATACTCATGTTCTGATTATTTAACATACTAACATTACTATGTGAAGCAAACAAGTATAGACCACATCATTTACTTTGGAATACTTTGATTTCATGCTTTCTTGAAAAGAGTTTTTGAATATGTGCAATTAGGAAAAGTGAGCTAATATGTACAATAATCAAAGTCATTCCAATCTAAGCAAAATCGCCTCCATCCATAGACATTCATAGAGATATTTCAAGTAAGCGAGTAATCTCATGGTAGTATGCTCGACATGGTAACAAAAACACACGTATGATATGCTAAAGCAAAAATACTCACCTGGTACTTAACCATGGCAAGCCAAAGAAAAAAAGATAATTAGAAAAAATGCATGATCCTAATATGCAAAATGGCTAATGCAACACATATGAAATGTGACTAATAAATTCGGCTATTTACATGACATGTGAAGAACTCAAAGTATGGGATAGCACACATAATCATTTAGGAATAGATAAGATGATGAGCCGAATTTTAATGTACGTGGAATGGTGGAAACGAAAAAACATTATGCTATAAACAACGATGACGAGCATGTAAATAAAAGGGAGAAAGAAACGAGGGTTGGAAGACATACATCAAATGTTACAAATTTGCCCTCATACAAGAGGGTTCGGATGGCCGAATCAACTAATTATTACAACACCAAATGAATTAACTAATTATTGCATTTTCAAATATTACAATAATAAATATTAAAGAAAAAAAAACAAGGATAACATGCACGCGAGTGAGAACATCCTTCAGAAACTGCTTTGTCTGCCCTGTTTTACCCTCAGCTGCTACTCTGTTTTGCCAACAATAGTCCTCCATGTGTACACTTTGAAGCCTGGCTGCGTCACAACGAGGCCCAGCCGGGTCCAATAAAATATGGTCGTGCCTCAGTTTGGCCGAAAAAATCTATTTTGTGCACTGAGGTAAAAACAATGTAGACAAAGTATTTCTAAAAGATGTTTATCCCTTCTATCCCTTCTTATCATGAAGATACTCAAGGAAGGAATATACTTGCTTCTCAAATCACCAACCATCGCAAGGTTGTTGCATGATGATCTTAGAGCCATTAGCAAACGACTTTACTAAGCACAAACTAAATAAATAAATAAACAAAAAACAAAAAATGAGGCTATTCTCCTTACCTTCTTCCTATCATGAGGTTATTCAAGGAAGAGGTAGATACGCTTCACAAATCATTAAGCATCACAAGATAGTATGTGATGATTATAGAAGCAACTAAAATGAAAAATAATAACAACTCAAAAATTGTTGTAAACTCCTCTCCCTACTCATGGAATAAGGATGAGACATCCATTTCCATGCTTCAAAGTGGAACTAAGAGAGAGTTTTCAACACTTTTCGATAAAGAGCTCTATATGAGGAACAAGAGAGAAAATCAAAAGGCAAGCTATCCATAAAAGCGTAAACACACAACTCCTCTTTTGCTCATGGAATAAGGATGAGACACCCATTTTCATGTTTCGAAAATGATCGAAAAGAGAGTTTCAACATTTTGACACGGAAACTATCACCTAGCTTCGAGGTAAACAACAATTTAAAGCGAAAAGTTTACAAATAGTATCAAACTTGTGGCGGGGTGGCTAAGCTCTAAACCCCCCATGGTCACAAGGTTCCAATATACTTTAAGGAAAGCTATAAAAACAAAAGAAATACTATCAACTCAAATGGACAGGCTGTTATGTCTAAACACACTGAATCCTTGAGGACTAACAAAAACACAATTGTAATATTCAAAGCATAAATTAAAGCATTAAATAGCCCACAAATACCAAAAAATAATTGTGGTAAAGCTTATGTGAAGCAAGGTAGAAAGTAAAGAATAAATTATTGTGATTATGCCTAAGGAGGGGTGGCTAACCGCTCCACTTTTTCTTGCTTTTAATCACATATTTCAGCCCCCCAAAATAGTCCAAAAACAGTATATAAAACAAGAAAAAAAGAGAAAGAGAGTGAAGGAGAAGTAAGGAAGAAGATGCAAAATTATACCTCTTGAAAACAGAGGCAAGTTCTTAGTTAACAAACTTGATTCTAAACACCCTCAAGTTGCTGAAATAGAGTTTGAAACTTTAGCAAAAGCTTTAAGAACAAGCTCTAATGGTGCATGT